ATTAAAAAGATCTAAAACTTAGTATTTAAGCTATAGTAAAGATATATAACGTTAGTTATAATTTAGTAACGTATTAATTAAAAGGTACACTATTATAATATAATATTATACCTAACTTATAGAATCTAATAGAACTTAAAAAGAGAAAGCTAGTTAAGTTTATTCTTAACTTAAATTCCTAATTATTTCCTCTCTACCTTAGTAGTATTAAAGAAATAGCTAATTAACTACTTACTAACTATAATATACCTTTAGTTAGTAAGCACTAAGCCTTAGACTTTATTAAATAAACACTAGAGCTTTAAATATATTTTTTATTATAAGTATAACTATAAGAAGGCTTAATATAAAGATCTAAATATAATAAATATATAGTTTTACCTTATAGTAAATATAATTATAAAATATAGTTATATAAAGTCTAATATCTATAACTTTAATAAGACTAGCTTTATAATAAGCTAAATTATATTTAGAATAGTTATTATAAGCTTTAAAAGATATTTAAATATAAAAATAGTATAGCCTAGAAATTAAAAATAAGTTATAGTTATTTAGGCTATTAGTTTATTTAGTTATAGCCTCTTACTATATATTATTATTAAAAGTAAAAATCTTCTTTCTACTTAGTATATAGAATTTAGTTTTCTACTTAACTAGGTTATTATAATATCTCAAAATAAATATATAATAAATAAAAAAGGCCTAAATTAGCTTTAGTACTTTAATTAATATTTAAAGTTATATATAAAAAGGAAATATTACTTTTTTATTATTAATAAGTATAAAAGTTATTATTCTATAGACTTTAAGCTATATTATAAAAAAAATAATATTCTTACTTTTTATATACTACTTTATTTATCTTATTTACTTTAGCCCTTAGATATTAGGTGTTTTAGGCCTTTAAAGCTAGTATATAGTTAAGAAATTAAGGATAAGATATAATAAGGTAATACCTATATTATAAAAAATAACTTCTTTTTAGTATTTTATAACGCCTTTAAGTAAGCTTTTATAAAAGTAAATATTTAAAGAGGCTTTAAAGGGGTAAGGCTTATCCCTTTAAGTCTAAAAAGTGTACTATTAAAGCTAAATATTAAGTTATATACTTTAACACCTCTAGGATCCCTTCTAATAATACTACTAGCTTAGACTTTTTAGATATTATATAACGTAATAGAGATATCTTCTTAAAAAACTCTTATTAAGGATTACTTTATTAATTATCTAAATAGCTCCTTAATATATAGATTAATAGCTACTAATTATATTCCTAAAAGATTATAAGGACTTATATATAAAAATACTTTATTACAAGCTAAAGTTAAAACCTTCTATAAAGAGAATAACCTACTTAACTAATATAAAAAAGTAAAAAAAACCTATTTAAGGTAAAAAAGAAGTCTTACTATAGCTAATATATAAGATATTTAGTTATAAAAAGAGGTAATAACCTAGATTAAAAAGGAAACATATTAAAGTAGTAGTTATAAATTAAGGATAAAAATAAGTAAATAGTAGTATAGTACTTATAGAAACACTAGATATAATATATAAATATATTAGTTTAATAAAGAAATATATTAAGAATAGGATTCTAAGTAGTTTAAATTAATTTTATTATTTTATAGTTACTTCTTAGTTATATTTATAAGGTAGCTATAATTAGGTAGTGTGCTTACTTATCTAGTGTGCTTACTTATTATATATATTAGTAGCTAATATTATAATTTATTATAGCTTTATAATTAAAATCTTTATATAATACCTTAAAGTAAAAGGTTAGTAATAGGCTTATAGTTATTTAATATATTAAATAGTATTTCTTATAGATTTATCTTACTTATTATAATAAGCTAACTACTTAATAGCTTATTATTATAACTATAATAAAGGTAATTAGTAAAGTAAGAGGTTCTTAGGTTATATAATAAGGTATTAATAAATAAAGTGCTTATATTACCTCTAAGTACTATATAGGTTTATTAAGTAATAAATAAGGCTTATTTAATTATTAATATTTTCTTAAGTAAAATATACTAACTAGTAATATTATTAATAAAGTTAGTGTTTTTTATCTATAAGTTAAAGATAAGTTACTTATAATATGTAACTATAATATCTTCTTTAGTCTATATATAAAAGTTAATATTAAGAAGTTATACCAATTTAGGTATAATCCTATCTTAAGTTAAATTAATATATACTTTATTATTATAAAGATAATTATAAGATACTAATAGTGCCTTAGTGCTTACTATATTAAAATTTTTAATAGTCTAATTTATAAAGTTAGATTAAAAGATATTAAGTACTTACTAGCTATAGGGGTTAGTGTCTAACTATATAGTAATTATATATATTATATAAGATCTAACTTCTTATAAATCCTTTTTTAAGGTTAAAATTAATATAGTTATTTTATATTAGTAGGTTAATATAGTAAAGAGAGGCTTATAAAAAGAAAAGAGGTTATAATAACTATAATAATAGTAATATATATAATAGAAACTAAGTAACTATTATTACTTAATTTAATAGCCTTATTATTACTAATAGTAGCCCTTTATCTCTTAATTTATTACTTATTATTATTAATAAAGAATAAGTTATATAAGTAAAGATAAAAGTAAAAATAAGGGTAAAAATAAGAGTAAGGATTAGTAATTAGTGTTTTTAGAAAATTATACGCTAGTAGGCTAGTAATCCTCTCTACTCTATATAAAAGAAACCTTCCTAATCTATTAATAGTAGTAATCTTATAATTAATTACACCCTAATTAGTATTAGTTAATTATAATATAGATATATCCTAAATATTATATAATAATTTATTATTTGAGATATAGTTGTTATTGTTGTTATTATACCTAGACTTATAGCACCTTGTAGTGGCATACCCCTAGTAGTAAGGGAAGGTAGATACTACCAGGGGAGGCAGTATGTCACGTGAATATCACGTGACCCAACTCCCCAGAGCATACCTACTGTATACCAACAGATATATTAATAAAACAATCTAAGTCCACTTAGATATAAGGGTTACGTTATTATTGTGCTACAGAGAGCTAGAAACAGACGGAGCAATTGCCGTCTTTATTTGCTTCTATAGACCTGTGCTGTTAACAGACACTAATATTGACCGGCCGTGTCCATGCCTCCTCGCTGTAGGCCCCAACATTGTCCAGAGACTCGCCTAGCTGAGACAAATCATGACAGAGAGCATAGTTGATGCCATAATGCTCAAATTTTGCCTGCTGGTCCGCTACATCCCAAGCAGTAAGAATAGTAAAACCGACCGTACGGCCTTGCAGCAGTGGGTTGCTAAGCTCCAGTTGTATTCCATTAGAGCATACTACGTGACTCTGGTTGGGAGGTCAAGGAGCGGTGGACCAAGCCCGGTGGATCGCTCTGTTACGCCACAATAGTATCCTTTCCTAGTCAAAATTGAAGGTAAACAGGATTTTGTCGTTTATGAACTCTAGCACCAGGCTGAAAAGCACCTCAAAGAACTCGTGACCACTCATTAATTGAATATCCCTCCCTTTAGTCCGACGTTGCGTTGCGGTAGTCTATAACTTACTCTAGGCCCTGGTGGAACAAGAGGAAGGCGGTCCTGATCTTGAGCCAGACCGGTTGAAGAAGTGGTACATCGACAGGCTTCTAGAGCGTTTGATACTGAAAATATTAGCGTAGGAAAGTCTTCCGCTAGCCACAACCAGCAAGCTAGATAGAGCCACCATACCGGGCCTGCGTATACGGTTACAAGCCGAAACGCGCTCAGCGCTGGGGGTCGTCACCTGGTCGGAGATGGAGCGCTCTATTGCCTCAAAGGTATCGGCAACCTGATGACCTAGGCCGACCCCTGCAACAGTTTGGACTTAATTCGCTACACATCCTACATCTCTGCTCCTTTATAGCCGAAACGTATGGCTTTGCTATGGAGCTGTTAGATATCTGGAAAGCCAGGGGGCATTGGACACCTGGCCAGACTGGTTGAGCAGTACGCCTCGTATCCTCAAGACAGGATCGAGATCAACTTGACCACCGTTAGCGAGCTTGAAGCCGAGTCTAAACTCGAACAGGTGCTGTTGGCATTGGACCCTGACCCGACGGCTTGGCTGGCAGAACAGAAACATAAAAACGGTACATATAACGTTTGTAGAGTGTTGCGCTTTGAATCCCTTGACGTGTATGGCTTGTTTGATAGTCTACGCATAGTTATTGACTATTTTGATATATTCTATGTTGCTTTTAAGTGGAACTTTATTACTAATTTTCTTGACAAGCGGCTCCACTATTGGTCACAGGCGTGCATAGAGATTAACGAGGTAGCTGATGTCCAGGAGTTTTAAGAGATCTACAAACGCAATCACAGGGAGCCTCACAAACTTAAAATAGACCTTTTGCCCACGTGCGCCTGGCTTTTACCCAGACTGGCGATTGTTACTTGTACTACAATATCTATCATATTCTGTTTGATGAATGGACATGCGAGAAGAGCATGGTAAATGCGGACTCCCTGACACACGGAAGCAAAGTATTCGAATCATCGCTATGCTGGATTCGCCTAGTCTTCTGGCCATTCGCAAGACTAACGAAGATTCCCACAACACCGGCGGCTTGACGGCCAAGATTCACGTCCCCAGAGCCACTATTGTGAGACTTAGATCCATGTCAGGTCAAGGCCTAAGCCCCTTTACTACATATCTCTCGACGTTTTGGATACTTATCTACTGGTTAGTCTTGTAAATCTTTTCTTTTAGATATGGAATGATCTGTTTGCTGATAACACAAAAACGAGAAAAGAAAAACAGGTATGCGTCGACCCCTGGCCTTCTTGTCCTAACTCCCATTTCTCAGCGGGGATTCCACACCTCTTACATCCAATCTTCAGGAAGCATGACCTCCCTGGTTGCAATGAAATCTTATATAGAGGGAGGCAACTAGACATTCGAATCGCGCATGGCACCACGCGTTCCATTACTTTCACCCGGGAACACTCTATGGTACTTGTTGACAAGGTCCTTGATGCCAGCGGCTCAAATCTTTCCCAACACTCGATCATGTGTGTCTTTAACAGAAATGCCTACACCTCCGATCGAGCTTCATACGCCAACCGCTCAGCCGATTTCTTGCCATAGGCCCCGGCCATGTTTAATCCAATTTTCAATGCGATAGAGAAGAGAAACAAATTGTACATATCCGCAGACTTGAACATTTCAACAGCAGTAATGTTGATGCCACCTTTGCTGACGGCATTGTTTGATCCTTTGCTTGCTACCTTGAGCGGTTGAGTGGCGGCAAGGGCATTTGGCAACAAATAAAGCACGTTGTCAAGCTCCCTGATGCTACTCCCAGAAAGTTGGAGACACTTCTCAATATCTCGAAGCCTGGAAGATTTGCCGTAGGGGGACTTCTGCTTCACGAGCATTTGAGCGGCGGGTATGCTCATCCAGCAGTCGTTGGCTGTCCGAACTCAACATCACGGCATCCACGATGCTATCTCGCCCTTTCTCCATAGGGCAGCAGAGCCATTCCAGAGCTTTAGAAAACGCGGTCACAAATACCTCTAAGAAAGGCGCAGAGATATGCTCTCCATGTATAAGGGTGGCAACGTGGAGGTTTTCTATGTCATCATTGTCATGACTCACCAATACATTGACCGGCATGTCTGTTTTCTCTTTGGAATCTACTAGTTGCATTCTGAACCGTAATCCCTGGCTGGCATAATGCTTAAGAAAGTTTTAATAAATAAATGTTTTGTCAAAAAAGCTGTTCTTGCCAGAGGCTTTGAATATTTGGCGAAGAGACATGCCGTCGTTCTGGATTAAGTTGACAGATTTGCTATGGACTCCACGCCGTTAATCTTGTTGTTACTCCTGCACGTTCACTCTAACACGAAAGGGGATGGTATTGACACAAAGGCTGACAAGCTACTTGATGCCACGGACGTTGATGATGATGGTGATGATGATGATGATGATATTGTTTAACGTCCGTCAGGTCCACCTAAGTGGCACAAGGCGCCCGCGCGTCCTATCTACTATTCTTAGCCCAGGTCCCCTCTACAATAAGGGGCCTCGCCGAAACAACGTCCCTCCGTTACTGTGTGAATCCCTTATCGCAAGCCACGCCACGGACGTTGATGTCAATGGGGATGGGTTGGTGGCGAGAGTGATGGGCGAACACGCTGCAAATACGAAGGTAGGTTTATCGTATTGCTAAAGCTAAAAGCTCCTTCCCCCTTTTCCTTCCTCCCAGCGCCCTCAGTGCTCCTTATCCTCGTTTGGATTTTACATACGCTTTGCCTGCGCTTCGCCCCTATCACGTTCTTCTTGGACCTACACCTCCGTGATGGTTTCTTGTCCATGACAGTTGAGGTTCCTCCTAGACGTTATAACACCAAACACAATCTCCTCTTCTCTAAGAAAATAAGACAGATCTATGGCCTAGGCTGCGCGTGGAATGGTGGAGACTATCGCCGCTTAATCAGCAGCACAGGCCTTGTCCCGCGCGACTGAGAAGGATAGCATGTGGTCGTACCTCCAGTCGCGTGGCGGTGTGATATGGGTGAAAATGTTCTGTGAGATCGAATGGTCCACTAGAGGGCATGGCATATTCCCTTCTAGCTCTGAGGTCCAGAACTAACGGATCTCCTTATCCTGCGATGTGGGCAGGGACGTCGTTATGGGTGTCACCTTGGATTGCTCGAGTAGCTCGGCCAAGGAACTTAACCACAGCCTCGCTCAATCTTTCATCTATTGTTGCTCGTACACCAGCCCGTAATGAATGACTTTCACGGCCAGGGTCCCGTCGTTGACGCCACATTCTACGTCCAGGGTCGTGCAACGCTAGTTCTGGGGATCTTCATCAACGGTTTGAAGGATGCCGGTAATACCTATCTGCCTGAAAGCCCCGTTTTCATTTCTCGCTAACAAGGATCAGTGGTAATCAAAGGCAATAACTAGACACAGAATGTCTGAAACATGAATCGGCCGCGACAGGTCGGTGTATTTGCGCGCAGTCTTTCTGCTGTTCTCGACGCCTGCAAGGAACGCTTCAAACTGCGACTGGGTTTTAGGCGTAGGTACCAAGAACCGTATATTAGTTATTGAAATAATCATCCAACTGTTCTAGGGATGCCATGGTCATTGTCGCCCAGATCTCTGCCATGTGACTCAAGACATATGTCAATATGTGCCATTGACCTCCACTTTCGCAATGCTAGGAGCAGCAATGCTAGCGGTATGTTAATATGTTCTGCACCACGCTTCTGCCTAAATACATCAAGCAGATTAGTATTTAACCCCCTAGATACCTTGGCTTCTACTGCCCGAGCTTTAGATACTGCGTTAAGATAAGCTTTATACTTAAAGTCTAAAACTACACCTCCACAGGGATTATAAACGTTAGTGCAGTGAAATGCCCCACATACAGCAGCATGAGACAGTACTTATTTTAATATAGGAAACTACTATTTATATTAGTACTAGTACTAGCACTAATTATGACTTCATCACTATTAACCAGCTAGCTAAAGTAACAGATACCTACGTATTGCCTATATTTTCCTCTTAACACTAATAACAACAGCAATATAGCAAATAATCTACTAATAACCCCCCCTTTAACCCTATTAATCTATCGTAATACTAACCTCTTAAAGGAGTAACGTATAGAGATACAGGCCTTTTAGAAGTATTTACACTAGAGTTAGATAAAGGATTAGATTAATAGGCACTATAATATCTAGACCCTTACGTTAGAGGAGTTACAGTTAGTTATATAGGCAGCCTGGCTCGTAATACCTTTAGACTTCTTATAGCAATTAGCACACTCTATGCCTTACCGACTTCGTCTTGTACTTAAGAATAACAGAGGGGTAATCCAGTACTAGTACTTAAAATATAGCCTATCTTATACCTATATATAAGTATAGTTACCTGCTGATCCTACCCTCCTTCTGGTTAGTAAGTATAACACTAACGTTTATAATCCCTGTGGAGGTGTAAGCTAGCTTTGATGGTTGGGCTTAAACTATTTTTAAAGACATGGGTTTGTGTTTATCTTAGATCCACTTTGGTTTATCTTGTCGCAATTAGGAAAGCTAGTAAGCTGAGGTAAGATGTCTTGCCCTTTGAGCAAACGGTCGAGTTCTTCAAGAATAATCTGCCATGACACAAAATCTACCGCGAACTGATGAACGTAGAAGACACAATATCCTTGATTGCACCTGCATGAGCGACCCCACCGTGGTGTAGGTATTCTGGTTTGGGTGGGTGCTGGAGCACTGGTGAGCCCATAGGCAAATATTGGCCTGCCTGCCTGCCTAAAAGCCTGCCTGGCTGAAAAGCCTGCCTGCCTAAAAACCTGCCTGCCCAAAAACCTGCCGCCTAACATTTTGAGATGCAAGATCCTTAGGGGAGGAGCGGATTCCATATAAACCACGCACTGAGAACGCGTAGATCCTAGATCGCCAAGCACACTTACTGCAACACAAGCAACTTTGCATTACCTTGCTTAACTAAGAAGTAGCTGTTCTGCATGATTCATTGAGTGCTGTAACGGCGAAAAATGACGATAATAAGCATGATTTTGTCTTGGTTGCAGGAAGAATCGCTAAAGGCGAGGAGTGGGAAAACACGATAATCCTTTGAGCTTGGTCTGAACCAAGTCAAGGTCCAATTTCTTCACCGGCTGTAGCAGTGCAGAAGGCTGTATTATCGTCGCGCGTATCGACAATTAACGACGTTGTCGCTTGATAAATGAAAGAAGCTGACTAGTTTCTGTTACTTTGGAAATCGTGGGAGTCGTCCGCTGCAAAGTGGCTGGACTGCTGTGACGAGGTGAGGAGACAAATAAAGCATTGCTTGAAATGAAGGCAACGCGAAGCCTCAGAGGAGAACGACCATTTCTTCAGGGCACAGAATGTTTGTCACGGTTGATAGTGTCCCTCTGTACCTTACATAATAGGTCCTGGTACCTGAGGATGAAAGGTAGGACCTAGAAGGCGGGACACGGAAGGCACGTGGAAGACGTGAAGGAAGGTAGAAGGGGAGGAGAGGGGGTGGTTCTTGTCACGCAGTGTACACATTATTTGGTCTCTATGTACAGTACCAACAGCTTACCATGTGCTGTCCAGTGGAACGTAGCAGATAGGGGGAAGGAAGGAGGAAAATCTAGCACACATCAAATGAGCATGCTGTCCGCAAGTGAATGAAGGCTATTTTCGAGCAGGTTCTTCCTTCTGAAGGAACCAATACAATATGTACTCAACAGGAGCGAACGGGATAGTCCACTCATCTTTGGCCTTTGAGGGCCTGTACTTCTCTCGTAACCATGGTGACCATCTCTTCCTTCTGATCCATGCTTATTGCCATATTCCATTTGTCATGCTTGCAACCGAGAACGTGCCGTTTCTCGACCCGTTTCTCCTACTGTTGACGCATAGGGCAGCAGGTGAGATGAAGGGAAAGTAAAGAGGTTATTAGGCAGTCCAGGTCTTCTGTCAGAATGGATCGCACGCCAGTCAGCCGGAAGGTGTACCGCCATGCGTGTGGTTTACGACGCTAGCCACCATCGGCCCAGCCGATCCAGCACGCAGAGGGCGGCGACCGGAGCCGCCGCACTGGTCTCTCAGACATCTATATGTCGGCGCTATGGCTCCAAGCGCGGCGACAAATATGCTTGAGCTGACCTCAGGCGATGATGTTAACTCTGCCGTTCCATTACGTTTGGGTGCTGAGCTCAAGGGTCCTGCTCTGGGTATGGGCATGACGGCGATGGTAGGCAGGCTTTGTGCCAGAGTTTGTTGGATTTGACGATTGGTACATGGTAGATGGTGACGCAGAATGACGAGCCAGATTGCCTTGGGTCAGTTAGTAGGTTGTGTTAGTGGGTAGGTTGCGTTGGTTGGTATAGGCGCAGCCGAGCGACCAGATTCGCAGACTTGCATGCTATTGCTCTTGTAGCCATGTCGATGTCACGCTCCTCCCCAGGGAGCAGTTCCGACGCAGGACTACGGTTGCGATCGCGCGAAATTCGTGTCTCGAACAATGCAAAAAGTCATCATGGCACTCGGAGGCGTGCTGTCGTGTCTGGCCGGGGCATGTTGATGCGGGGTGCTAGAGCTTAGAGCTGGAGCGCTGTGGTTAGCTGGAAGGCAATTCCGTTAAAGGGGCGTGACGCACGCTAGCCGGTGTAGCTTTTGGGAAAGTATCCGTACCAGGAGAGACTTCAAGGGCGGGGGAGCCTCTGCTCTGTTTAAGTGCATATCTGGGCATGGTACATGTTGAATGTGGTGGCGGCCCACTGGCTGGTATCCGTACATTGGCCACTTTAGCTGGCCGTGGCACATTTCAACAGTAGCGCAGGTGCACAGTGGCAGATTGAGGCCCACTGGCAGGTGGAAAACGCCAGGCGTGGGCGCACCATCACCACCAGATGGTACCTGAGGGACAGGCGCCAAAAAAAAGGTGACGATTTTCTTACCAAAAACAATCACCTTTGACCACCCCTGCCTGGCGCCTTCCGCGGTTTAGCGCGAAAAGTCCCAGCCAGATGCTGAAGCAGCCTCTACTGGCCTGGCCCTGCCACTCCGACCAAGCCTCGCCAGCGGCTGGTAGTGGGTGGTCCGCTGAAGGTACCGCCCAGGAGCGACCGCCCCTGCAAGCTTACAAGCCCGCAGCTGTCTGCGCCAATCCATCGCATTGGGCAACAACTTGCCCATCTGTCCGATCGGTCCATCCACGGTCAGGCAACAACAACACAGCGACCGCCTCCACTACTCAACATTGACGGATATGTTCGGTCGGCACTACAGCAGCACCATCACGTCAACGGACGTTGGCGACGAGGACGTCTCGACTTTGAAGTATCAGACCAAGATATGGCGGCGAAGTGGCCCGCGTCGAGTACATCGCCTCAGCAGCGCCTGCCACGACTTCTCACCGGGCTGCATCGAGGGTCATGCCCCGATATCCTCCAAGTACAGCTTGAGGCGGGACTCCAAGGGGCTAACGACCGAGATGGCAGGCGTTCCAGCAGAGTAGCCGAATGCTCCCGCCACAGCCCGCCGGAATCTGAGTTGCGCTCATCCGCCGGCAGCGGACACCACAGGCAGCACCTTCTCCACCAGCCAGTCTGTGGTCCCGGAAGACGAAGCTGAACGACGACGACTGCCAACACAAAGCAGACAGGGATAGATGGTTGAACAAAACGAACAACCAGCCTCGATCAAGGAAAACTGCAAAAAACATACAACACCGGGCATTCGCCGGTCGTCACCGACCCGACTACTACTCCGGCCCTCATTGGCTTATCTATGGGAGAGCGGACGGGATCCCGAGTTTTCCAATGGGTATGGTCGTATGTACTTGTGCGAGGTATCAGAGCCGTATATAAAGGAACTTCTCTAGTAATGCCTAGTTAGGGGACCAGGTCGCAGGAGAGATACCTAGATGTATCGCTTGGAAATGGGCGAGGTCTGGCCATGGAGATAGGTTATATGAGTTCATCAAAGCGTCAAATAAACAGCGCGAATCGTGCCGAGGTGCGTCGCCAGCAGCGTCACAGTCCAAGCAAGTGCAACCAAAGCCCATGCGGCCCAAGGCCGTCGAGGTGGATTTGATTTTCCACCATGGTATCGGGATCCAAAAGGCCTTACGGAGTCTGATGGGTCGCCGTGAACACCGAGTCGACAGCCCACAGGATGACGCGCGAGATCCTCCGGCTGCGCCCTGAAGCTTCACGGGTCCGTCATTGAGGACTGGGTGGAGCACAGGCCCGAACCGGCCCCGGTGCTAGTAATACCGGACCCCGCGTGGAGGCCGCGGGGAAAAGTGGAGAACGCCGCCGACGATGGCAGCTTTTGTGAGAAGCTGCCACGCGCATACGAGGGCAGCATGTCCCCTTACAAGTAGAACCCGTATCAATGTCCTGCATTGCTTGAGTCGCTTTCTTGCAATTAAGAAGCAGGTAATGAAAACATGTAGCCTGAATGGTGAGCGATGACGCGACAGCCGCACACACGAAGCCAGATATACCTGCCCCCACGCCCCATTGTTGGAAGTCTTCTAGCCGCCATCAACGTCAGATTAGAGGCACCTTTTAACAGGCAGGCGTGGCTGGTTTCTGATGTAGGCGTTACAGTCACATGCGCATTGACCTGACGCCACACAGTTATGTGACATGGCGAGTCTACGTGCCTGCGCGTCGCGTCGCGTCAGATGGCATGAACTCGTCACATGGCCATGGCGGTAGCCAAGTCAGAACAGCGTGCGTGCGCACTCCATCGCAAAGGAAACGAGAGGCGCTGCCCTCGGGTTTGGAGCCAGTAAGAAACTAGCGCGATAGCCGTAGGCCGAGATGGTGCGGGAGGGAGTGCCTTGCATCACCCGGATGGCAGACCCGCCGAACAGGTGGTTTGCGCGACACGCCTTGGATGCATCGACGTCCGGGTTAACTGAAGTCTGAAGCGGTCGATCAATGCACCTGGTGCGTGCTACTGTGGATGGCACACGCATCGCTCTCCGATATGTCTATTTGTCCTCAGACTTGATTTGCATGCATGTTGGACGTCTGGACGGCACTTTGTTCATGTGATTGAGAGTGGTGCTGATGTGTGGATTTCCAATCGTCTTCATGGCGAAAAAGTCGGGGACGCCTGGCTGCTTAGCTAAGCTGTTTGTGAATCTTGCGGAGGCAGGGGTGAAGGCAGGCACAGGCTGTGGCAGCTGCGGGCAGCTTTTCGCATTTCGCAGGGTGGCGAAAAGCTGCCATCCTAACCTCACCTGAAAGTTGCGGGCAGATACCGGGAAGTATGGGGGATAAGATAAACAAAACATCTTGGAATAAATTCTATGAGCTTTAAGCAAACTGCTAGAAGATACTGCAGGAGTCTGTCTATAAGAGGTTGCGTTATAAATCGATTTGCCGTTGATTTAGGGTAAGACCCCACCCTATAACTCGGGCCACCCGTAAAGACGGGCCACGTAGCAACATTAGCTTTTTAACCCCTCATTTCAAGGAATAGGAATTAACTACCTTTTTTAAACCAAAATATCCTAATAACAAAAAATTAAATTAATTCTTTTAAAAATACTAAATAATTTAGAATAGTTACTTATACCTAGGAGGCCTTATAGTAGGTAATTAATAAAGTTCTTACTAGTAGCAGCTATTATAAAGCCTCTTACTAATAAGGTATCTCTTATGCTATACTATATTACTACCTTTATAGTGTAACCTTAATTTATAAGGCTAAAGCAGACTATTAGCGCCTTAGTTAACTTTAAGAAAGACGCCTTACTAATTAGGCACTAGTCTAAGAAGCCCTTAGCTTTATACTAAGTTATTTATAACTTAAGGAGATAGCCTAGAGAGTCCTTAAGGCTAGTAGTAATTTATACCTATTAGGGAGAAAGTAGATAAAAGGATTCTTATAGAGAAATCTAGCTATAAAGACCCTTAAGGCTAAGAATATTAGCTCTAAGAGGATTAAGTACGTTACTAAGGAGAGGATTAAGGAGCTTTTTTATCTACTTACACTCCTTATTATTAAGAATATGTTAGCATAACAGGTAAGCTAGTCTCTTAGATAGAGAATTCTAGCTTAGGAGAATATAAGAGAGTATATCTCTTATATAAAGATATATCCTATAGAAGCAAGAATATAGGATAAAAGGGAGATATAAATACTTATACCTAGGGTAAATAAATAGAGGATATAAGGATATATAGTTAAAAGAGAGTATAGTAGTTAGATTATTAACTATTTGCTTGCTTAGAGAGAGAAGGAAAGGAAACTAGAAACAGGAAGAATTCCAGCCCTTATATAGACCTATACAGCTTACTAGAATATTCTATACTTACGTAAGCTGCTTATAAATCAACCCTTAGTTACGTAATATAATAACCTTAAGTAAATAACCCTAACTTAAAATAATAACCTTATAGGAACAACAGAGGTAGAAGGTAGGATCTAGAGAGATCTTAGATATTCTAGTACCTTCTCTAATCTTTAGTTGATTACGTAATTAGACATGCTTACGTAATTAATATATATATTAATCTACTAAGTAAGTAGATTATAAATATATATATCTTATATATATATAACCTCTATAATAGAGGAAATATAAGATAAAGAAGTATAAGAATACTTAGAGATATTCTTACTTCTAATACTCCCTCTTTTACTCTATTATAGAGTAAAAGTGGTTAAGTGAAAAAAAGTTACCCTGGAGTTGCGCAGTAGCGTGTAGAGTAAATATTAATAAGTATAATAACTTATTTATAAAAAGTCCTAATAATAGTAGGAAAAATATACTATATGTATAGGTATATTATATAGGCTTATTATTGTTAAATAGGCCTATAAGCTTAATAAATTCTTGAAATTTAACCCTAGGAAGGGGTTTTGTTAAGCTATCTGCAGGCATAGAAGAAGTAGGAATATATTCTACTTCTATATTGCTATTTTCGACTTCTTGACGAGTATAGTAGTAGTATAAGGCAGTATGCTTAGTCCTCTGATAATATTTAGGATTATGACTAAGCTTAAGGCTGTATTATTATCTGTTTTAATATTTATAGGGGTTATATTATACCCTATTTTAGATAATAAGCCTTTTAGCTAGACTGCCTCCCTAATAGCTTCCTGTAGGCTATTAAATTCAGCCTTAGTAGTAGATAGGGATATAGTTAACTGTTTTTTAGATTTCTAACTAATAGGGCCCCCTAATAAGGTAAAGATATAACTAGAAGTAGATTTTCTAGTTTCTTTATAACTTACCTAGTTAGAATTAGTATATCCTACTAGATTAAGGGTATTATTAGAGTTATTAATATCTGTATTACCTTGATAGATAATATTATAATTAATAGTCTCTTTTAAATATTTTAAAATACCTTTTCCTTACTTAAGTAGGAATTCTGTTGGGTTATAGAGGTAACGAGAGGTAAAGGATACGCTATAGACTATATTAGGCCTAGTTATAAACATAGCGTATATAAGGGAACCTATAAGTTGTTGATATTCCTTTAATAGGTCTTTAGAAGGAGTATAACCTTCTAATTTGTTACCTAGAGGGCTACTTAATATACCTGGAGATATAGGTATATTATTTCTTTTTGCTTCTAGTAGATTAAATCTTTCTAGAAGTTGTTGGATATAATGGGCTTGAGAGATAGTTATAGATCTTCTAGATCTATCTCTTGTTATATAAAGCCCTAGAAATTTAGAAACTTCACCTAGGTCTTGAATCTCTATATATTTAGAGATTTTACCCTTTATATTTTCTATATACTTAATATCTTTATTAAGTATAAGAAAATTATTAATATAGGTAATAATGTAATAAGGATTATTTTTATCCTGGTTATAATAGGTGGCTTTGTTAGATTTTAAAGATATAAAACCTATATCTTTTAATATAGATTTAATCTTTAACTGCTACTACCTAGGAGCTTGTTTAAGGCTATATAAAGCCTTTAAAAGTAATAATATCTGATTCTTATTATTTTCCTAATTTATAGTATTTAAATTAGGGTATTTATTAAAGAAATTAGATAAAGGGATATTAGAAGGGTCTATATATACCTCTTCTTCTAAATCCTTATATAGAAAGGCTCTAATAATATTAATTTGTTAGATTTCCTAATCTAAGGCTGCTGCTATAGCTAATAGTACCCTATAAGTAGTAGGGTTACTACCTGCAGCAAAGGTTTAAAAGTAATCTAGCTTATATTTTTGCTAGAAACCTCTAACACATAATTAGGCCTTATATTTATTAATATTACCGTTAATATTAAATTTTTTCTTAAAGACCTATTTAGCAGTTAAAGGTACCCTAGAAGACTTATATGCTTTATTAGGTTTTACTGCTTTTAAAGTGCCTCTTTAGATAATAGTAGCTAATTCTTTATATATAGCTTCTAACTAGAGGTCTTTTTTAGGTCCTTCTAGAGCTTGTTTTAAAGTAGTAGGCTCTAGAGTTTTAATACTATAGTTGTATTCTATAGTATTATTATTATTATAGGCCTTATACTT